AGCCTCCCTCATCCTCCCCGTTCCCTTAAAAAAAAAAAAAAAAAGACTTATTTGAAGTCAGAGAGAGAGAGCGAGTGCATGAGCATGAATGTTCTTCCTCTGCTGGACTTCCCCACCTTTTCTAATTCCATCTTGGAACTCTGCTTTTTGTAATCTTTGCTTTTAATCTTGATCCTTTTAACCCTTTTAAGACTGACAGTGTCATGCCAAAGCATGTTCAAGAATATTGGGACTTTTCTGTATTTCCTATGTGGTTTCACTTGTGGTTCCATTTTTTTCTTTACTTGAAGGAAAAAAAAATCCCGAAGTTAATCAGCTTCTTTAGGAAGTGTGTAACATACGAGTATAGATACCTAAGTATGGGACGTGCGCCAACCCCTGCTGGCTTTAACATTTTTTTTTTTACATCTTCAAGAAGTTTGGCATTTCTTTGAACTTTTTAGGTAAGTAAAACATAATTGCATTCTCCTGGTGAGAGCGCAAATAACCTAGAGGGATTGAGTGTGGGGAAAAGAAGGCGACAGTCTTTCTACTTTCCCCTGTCCAAGGAACCCAGGGCAGGAGGCACGAGCTGCCACACCTGACCTCTGCATTGAGGCACAGGTACATGCGTGTCTGTTAGCTGCAGGCCTTCCCCGTGGTAAACCAGCACGGACACAGTCAGTAGTTTTTTCTCACTTAGCAGTTTGTTTTGGAGATCCTCCTGTGTGAGCTGCCTAATGGTGGACATTTAGGTTGTTTCTAATTATTTGCTCTTACAAACAGCGCTATAATTACCATCCTTGTAAATGTCTCTTTGTGCATATGGGCAAGCATTTCTTTAGGGGAGCTATCTATGGTTTGGCAATTTCTACTGCCTTTAATTGCATTGCCTGGTATCTGGCAGACGATCTTCTGCATGTACAATAACTTTTCATGTCCATACACCATTATAGTGTAAGTTTGAAAAAGATGTTTTAGGCAACAATTAGGAATCTAAGTTTAAGTTCAAAGTCTGTGTGGATTGGTGTGGTCAGCTAAGGTGACTCTTGAGCAAGAAGCTATCTGCATGCAAGGGTAAGTCAGATGTGATTGGCAGCTGAGTTGGGCAGCAGGCAAGCCTCCCCACCCGCCTCAGCCACCCCCATGTCCGTGGAGAGCACGCCATGAGTTCTTACTACATGCAAATATAGGGAAAATATGTCTTAAAACTGAGGAGCTGTGGGGTATGATTCTCCCTGTAGCAGTAGTCTGTACCCCGTCTCCGTGTCGGCCTGCTCTTTCCCTCGGGAGTTGCTGCCATTGCCTTCCCACCAGTTCATCCCCTCCCATTGCTGGGTTTGTGCAGCTGGCCAAGGACCCAGTGTTGATCCGTGTGTTCAGACACTCGCTCCCCTGTGGTCTCCTTTCCGAGATCTTGCTTGCACGTCTGTCCTCTCCGCGGCTCCTTCTTCTTGCCCACGCAGTCCCTCTCACGCGGGCTGCTTCATTAGCTGTTCACAATCTGCATGATTTTGCATCGCAATGGGTTGGATGTGAGAACATCTGCAGCAGTCAAGAACACATTTTTCTCAGGACTTGACACTAAGCTTGCAATCAGCATGTAGTGCTCTCTCGCCCTCTCCCTCTCCTTATCCCTCTCCCTCTTTGCCTCTTTCTCTCTCTCACTCGGTGACATCTCCCAGCATTGCTCCAGCATCACTTATGCCTGAGTCTTGAATAGCGTCAATCTGAGTTGAAAATGTGCCAGCTTTCTTAACAATATCACCAACAGACTGTTTAATTAACCTGATGATACTGTCACTAATAGATCTTGGGGTGGGCATTGTGGCACAGCAGGTTAAGCTCCTGATTGGGATGCCAGCATCCATGTCAGAGTGCCTGGATTCAAGCCTTGGCTACCTTGCTTCCAATCCAGCTCCCTGTTAATTCATTCTGGGAGGCAGAGGATGGTGGTTTGAGTGCTTGGGTCCCTGCCTCCCCTGCAGAAGACCAGGATGGAGTTCCTAGCTCCTGCCTTCAGCTTAGCTCAGCCCTGGCTATTGCTACCACATGGAGAAGGAACCAGCAAAGAGACCAGTCTGTCTTCGGGCTCTGCCTTTCAGAGATGAAAAGAAACAAAATGTAAAATGGATAGTACCAGTCATTGTCGGTGTGTTAGGAAGCAGAGCCACAGCCACGGTGGTACAAGGCTTCCCTTACCATCTGTTTAGGCTGTGTCGTTAACCTTGGGAGCTGGATTTGCCAGGAGTGGGAGAGGAGGAGTGGCTAGGAAAGGCTTGAAGGGCATATAGCAGAATCAAAGGTTCTGGATGAGACCACAACCAGGAAACCACTGTAACCACTGGCATTCTCACTGCTCTGAGGCAGACATGCCCACTAGCCCGTGTGTACAACAGATATTCAAGAGTGAAGACGACCCGGCAGTGAACAGAGGAGCACGTGTGGCCTGAAGTAGCCCGCTCCCTGGGAGGACCTGGGTTGCTGGCATTCAGATGGGACTCTAGGCTTTTCTGTCTTTTTTCCACCCAGGAAGCTTAGATGAGACAGGATCATCATCACTCCCAAAAGCTGTTGGATGATAGAGGCTGGGTCTTCACTCACTTTCATGCTCCATCCACCTTTTTTCTCGAGTGGTTTTGTGTTTGACCCTGCGTCTGGGCCTGCATCAGCTAGCCATGTTTCATAGTGAGAAATTCCTGGTCCGCCTCTGACTCTACACTCCTAATTATCTCCTCCACAGACACACACATTGCTGCTGCCCCTGACTCTGCCAGGGTCCAGCACAGGGCCTAACTTACGTGTGAGCTCAGCCAGCACCCAGGGAGTGGTGGAGATCTAAACGCTGTCCCGCCGATCCCAGCCAGGGATGCCAAGCTGAAGGAGCTGGATGGCAGCTGTTCCCCCAGCTCCTTTAGTTGCCTAGTCAAGTTGGCCTTAAGGGGATGTGAAAGCCGTGGCTGTGCTCCTGTAACATTGCCCTTGCTGGCACAGGGACTGAGCTGGTGTAATGGAAGGGCTTCTCAGAAGGCAGAGAAACCCGCTGTCCCCTCCATCCCTTGGGTCTTCTGGAAACTGAGGTCCTGCCACCACCCCAACCTGGTGGGTGGGTGGGGGTGCGTGTGCAGAGCACTCCTACTGCCACTAGAGGGCAGTTTGCTAACAGAGGCTTGTGCTGGCTTCGCAAGGCTGTTCTGGGGGCTCACCTTTGGGAGTGAACAAGAAAGGACAGTCAGCTATGGAATCTAACCCAGATGGCTCTCAACCCAGCCTCTTGACCCCTCCTTTAGGACATTCCCTGGCTACTCCAGATTTCCTTACCCTCAACCCTCAGTGTCTAGCTGTGATCGAGATAAGAATCTCTCCTAGTCAGTCCTGTTGACGTTTGGGGCCACAGAACCCTTGGTTGGAGGGTCTGCCTGATCTGAAGTAGTCTGTTGTGAGCATTGTACAGTGTTAGGCAGCTTCCCCGGGGCCACCCCCAGTTGCCAGTGCACCCCACCCCCACCCCAGATCATGATCTTCACAACAGATTTCAGACGTGGCCAAGTGTCTGTCAAGAAGGCACTGTTTATGTCGGGTGTGTGCACCTGCTGTGACGAGAGGGACGAGAGGCTGAGGCCCAGCCACAGAGTCTGCTGCCTCGGTCCTCACCATAGAGTCGTGTGCAGTGGGAGAGGCTCGGAGATGGCACGTTTGCTCTGAACACATTTAGAAGCGCATTTGGTCTCCCAAACTATGCACAGCCTCTCGGTCTCCCCCTCCCTGCGTGTCCCTCCTGCATCCCACATGACTGAAACAGAAGGTGGAAGCTCAGAGCCCTCTGGGTCCCAGGCCCCCCTCACCTGCAGAGCCCCATCTCCAGCTGCACGGACCCTGGACCACTGGGCTCCCAGTCATTGGCTCAGGCCCTGGCAGCATCTGTGCTGCCTCCCACTGCGCCTGCCCACCAGGCCCCACCGCCCTCCAGCTCCCCAAACCCTGGTGCCTCCCCCAACTGGAGGGAGGGGGAAGCAGCAGGTGTTGATGCTAATCAGTGTTCACAGCCCAGAACTGCAGTCGCTCCCAGGCTCACACACTCCCCAAAATTAAACACTCATTATACAAAATTAATTGACATTAATTAGCAAAAATTAAAACTTTAAACACAGCAAGGCGCTTTGGGGGGAGAATGAAGCAGCCGGGCTCTGCATTTGTCACCCCCACTCCCCACCCACCCACTACCCCCGTGTCCCCCCAATTTTATTCTGAAACAGGAGTGGAGGAGTTCAGGTGAGGTCAGCACCCACACCCCACCATGCATCCCAGGTGAGGGGAAGCTGCCAGCTCATGGGTGAACCCTGGACTCTGCACCCAGTGCTTAACTAAGGAGTCAGGAGTCCTCCTTTCAGCTTAGGTCCTCAAGGTCTCAGCTGAGACATGGCACAAGGCTTCTGACACAGGGGCAAGGCTGACCTTGACTTGTCTGCCTCCTCCACATCTCTTAGCTGCTGGTTGCTCAGAGGTTTCAGTTCCTTTGCCTTTCCACCCTGTCCTGCTTGACTGTGTGACCTCAGATCCATCCCTCCCCCTCTCTAAGCCTCAGTTTTCCATCCATATGATGAGGGGGCTGTGCTTGGTGAGCACAGAGGTTCCTGTCTGCTCTGGAACCTGCTGTCAGGGAAGTGTATCTCTGGCAAGTTGATTCATTGTGAGACACAAGGGACCAAGTGTGAGTGCTGACATCCTCAGAGGCCAGAGAGGCTGGAGGTGCTGACAGTGAAACTTCCAGCCCCAGGGACTGTCTTCAGGCCAGGGAGGCTTGCACTAGCAATGTTACACCCCAGAAGGGAAGGAAGCCACTGTCGGGCTGCTCCCTCGTTCTCCACCCCAGCTCACCAGGTGCCCCCAGACCTCTCCCCAGGCCAACGGGCAGGTGGACCACAAAGCTGCACCTTCCCCACCTTGCCTGCTGCATCTGCTCTTTGTCCAGAACCTGGAGACCCCTCTGACTCCTGCCCCCTGCACCCCTCTCTCTCCAGCCAGTGCCAACATCTGCAACGTGGTCCTGATGCGCTATGGCGAGCTGGAGGAAGGCATTGATGTCCTGGATGCTGACGGCAACCTCGTGGGCTCCTCCAAGATCGCAGCCAGACATGTGGGTTGCCTGGGGGCTTGGAATGGGGCCGGGGGCAGGGAGGGAGGGAGGGAGGGAGGCCATGGTGGAGACCAGCAGCAGGGAGGGGCATGACTTCCTCTCAGCACATTTGCTCCTCCTCCATGGTTGCAGCCTTGCTTCTCCCCACCCTCTCCCCCTATTCCTACTGTAAAACTCTTCCATCTCTTATCCCAAGCTCCCAGGACCAGGCTGTTCCTGGGGTCACCTCACCCAGAGCAGGTGCTAATTGGTGAGGGTAGAGGTGACTTTCCCCAGAGCCTCCTTCTCTGTTCCCGGGTCCCAGGGCCCCACTGTGCTGGGCCTTTTTGGGTAAGGAGAAGGCATGGAGGTGTGAGTAGTTTGTGGTCTGTGTTGCCAGGTGCCTGTGCAAGTGCTGCTCGGTGGGGGTGGGAGGGTGAGGCATTAAAGTTTTCAGAGCCCGCAGCATTGGTGTACAGCAGAAAGCCTCACTCTCACCCCTGGCTTCACTGGCCTGGTCCACTCTGGCCCTTGAAATTGCAAAGCAGAACATCCAGTCCATTTGTACATGTGCTGGTGCTCTCCCAGCCACCTTGCTGATGGCACAAGCGGCTCATCCTGCCACCCTGAGTGCTGGGACTGGTGGGGGGGCAGCCCCCAGGAGACTGAGCATCCGCCTGTGTGACAGCCATTCAGGAAGAAGCCCCTCTCAAGTCCCAACCTTCTCTCCCCACCAGTCTCAGGATGGGCTTGGGAGGGCAAGAGGTTGGATGCCACCCTGTTCCTGTTTTGGAGGCTCAACGTCCCCATAGCATACCCACACCCATTCAGGAGACTGAGTGAGATCTTCCAGGCCTCCCTGATGCTAAGCATAGCACCTGGGAACCTGTAAGGGTATAACTCCCACAGTGGCCAGCGCAGAACTCCCTGTGACCCTTGGGGGGAGCCCATGGAGAAGGCCTCAGGCACACAGCATGGAAATGCTGTGGGTCCCTTGCAGAGGTGACTCCAGAGCTTTTGCTTTGAACCCTTGTCCAAAGGAAAGTTGACACCCCAGGGTCACAGTCCCTAAGGCTTGCAGCCGTAGCTAGCTGTGCTGGCTGTCCTTATGCTGTCTTAGGTTAACCGTATGCTTCAGGGATGCTGGCCCCTGTACCCAGGCCTACACCCACCCCAACATGCAGCAGAGCCTAGAATCTGTTCTTCTCGGATGTGTTTGGTGACAAGATGGAGCTGGCAGTTTCCTGTCATTCTGAAAAATCTTGCCTAGCCAGATGCACTCAGTACCCGGCTAGGGATCAATGCCAGGAGGATGATAGCCACCACTGGACCCTTCTCACCACAGCCTCTGCTTGCTTCCTCCTCCCCTAGGCCCTGCTAGAGACGGCGCTGACACGGGTGGTCCTGCCCATGCCCATCCTGGTGCTCCCCCCAATCGTCATGTCCATGCTGGAGAAGTGAGTGGGGGCAGCCGGGACAGAGGGGAGGCCAGCTAGGGGTAAAGCACAAGGAATTGTGGGCAGCCTAGCCCAGGTTGTTGCAGGGGCTGGGAAGTGTCCTGCTCTGTTGTCAGCTTCTACCAGACACTGCTACCCTGCCCTGCACTGCCCTGAGGAGCTGGTCATTCTGGGTGCATGTGTGTATGTGTGTGGGGGTGTGCCTGTGTGTGTGTGTGTATACACACATTCTTAGTGAATAGTGCAGGACCATTTTTGAAGACAGTCTGATGACTCTGGAGAGAAGACTCGGTTTGGAGCTGGTGCCTACCACAAGGTGAGCCACCTCCTCACGGAGCCACACTTTCTCCCCTGTAAAATCAAAATTGTCGGGCCCGGCGCGGTGGCGCAAGTGGTTAAAGGTCCTCGCCTTGCACGCCCGGGATCCCATATGGGCGCCGGTTCTAATCCCGGCAGCCCCGCTTCCCTTCCAGCTCCCTGCTTGTGGCCTGGGAAAGCAGTCGAGGACGGCCCAAGGCTTTGGGAACCTGCACCCGCGTGGGAGACCCGGAAGAGGCTCCTGGCTTAGGATCGGCGTAGTATCGACCCGTTGCGCTCACTTGGGGAGTGAATCATCGGATGGAAGATCTTCCTCTCTGTCTCTCCTCTCTGTATATCCGTCTTTCCAATAACAAAATAATAAAAATAAATCTTTAAAAAAAAAAAAAAAATCAAAATTGTCATAACTCCTCTGCCTCCCCCAGAAATGTCTCTTTCATATTTTTTACTTGAAAGGCAGAGACACCGAGAACTCCCATCTATTGATTCACTCCTCAAATGCCCACAATGGCTGGGTCTGGGCAAGGGCCAGGGCTAGGATATGGGAACTCAACCCAGGTCTCCCGAGTGGATGACAGGAATCCAATTGCTGAGGTCATCGTCACTGCTTCTTGCCAGGGTCTGTATTGGCAGGAAGCTAGAGTTAGGAGCTAGAACGGGATACTGAACCTGGGGACTATGGTGTGGGACTTGAGTTTGCCACCTACTGGGTTAAACTCCCAATCCCTCAAAGGTGTTTCTAAGAACCCAGATTTGTCCTGGCTTTAAAAAATTCTATTGTGATGCATCAAGTTAAGCCACCACTTGCAGTGCTGGCATCCTGTATAAGTGCTGGTTCTAGTATCTTCTGTTGTGCTTCCAATCTAGCTCCCTGCTATTGCACTTGGGAAGGTAGTGGGAGATAACCCAAGGATTTAGGCCCCTGCCATCTGTAGGAAGAGACCAGATGGAATCCCTTGCTTCTGGGTTTGCCCTGGACCAGCCCCAGCCATTGCAGCTTTTGGGGGAATGAAACTATACATGGAGAATCCCTCCATCTCTGTCACTTTGCTTTCAAGTAAATAAATACACCAAATCCTGAGCAATAATGAAGGAGATATAAATAGCACCAAGAATAAAGTGATTTTATTCTTTACTGGTATGAGGTTGAGTAGGGAGAGGGGCAGCAGGACAGACCCTTGTATGGGTCCAACAGTCACTGAGATTTAGAGTAGACCTAAGAGAATGGCACAGGTTGTGGAAGGACCGCTGGGTGCGGGTATCCTGGAGGTGCCAACAACCTGGGCTCCCCCTGCCACTCTGCCTCTGAGGGCTACAGGTCTGATTGGCATGTGGTTGGGTTTTGCCAATCCTGAAACTGGGAAAGGCCTAGCTGTTGGCAGCCTGTGTTTTTATGGGCGAGTTGGGTAAGTGCCCTGCCTGGGTCAGCTACAGAGGGAGACTAGGACCGGTATGCACCAGGGCCAAGGTGACCTTGACAGGAGGTGGCACATGGGCCCTGAAGCCATAGCCAGTCTGCAGGGAGGAGCACTGGATGGCTCTGAGAGCAGAGTGGTGTTCTGTAGGAGCGGGGCCTCTGTTGGGCCAGGTGGACACCTATTGCTTGGACACCAAAGCAAAGCATGTTCATGGCAGTCAGGGCCGAAGGGTGGTGGGTACCCATTCAGGCGGTAGCTCCTCGGGTTCTTAAGAAGAGGGGGTCCGAGGCAAGAACATGGCACTTTGAGAATTGGGATTTCAGGATAAAAAACAAACCTGCAGCAGAATTGCCAGGCTTCAGGGGAGCTGTCACCTTTGTACCCCTGAGTCTTGGAAGTCACGGTCCCCTTGTGAACCACACACCTGTAAGCAACACAAGGCTGGAGCCTCCATCCTCCAGACCGCAGGATCCAGAGCCCTGGCTCTGGGACACAGCTCCCTGTATGCTCATGATACGCTGAGACTCAGCCCTCCTGTGACAAGTTCTGCGAAGCAGCTGCACTCGTCACAGAAGGGTATCAGGGGCGACAGAAGCCCAGGACTCGGTGGGAGCCTGGCCCTCCCGGCTCAGGATGTGAACCCATGGATGAGAGATTTCCAGCCACAGGCAAGGAGCCTCATCTGTCCGGTCCACTGGCCCTGCACTCCACCCTAGGCCTGCTGGGATCACTGGGCTAATGTGCAGCTGGTCATCTCATGAGGAAGGGCAGGACCAGTGTTTAACTTCCTCTGCCTCTGGATGTTGCCTTTCTGGTATGTTCTGCCCTTTACCCCTGTAAACTATGAGCAGGAGGAGCCGGGAAAGCTGGGTCAGCCCACCCATGCCATCCAGGAGCTGTTCCATAGGAACCATGAGTTGTGGCCCCTTCTCACTCAGCTCTGAGTTGCTTTAGCAGAAGATACAATGATGGCTGGCATCTTGTTGATTTGATGGCTTAATCTTGGCTTTGTGTGTCACAAGGGGTTCAGGTTATTCTAATTCTGAATCTCCATTGCCTAGGATCTGCCTCCTGTCTGGGTGTCTGAGATCAAGTCCCATGTAGTCCAGATTAACCTCTGGGGCTCCTGGCAGCCATGTGTATGCTTGATTCCTGCCTGGAACTTTTGAGACATTGGAAAGAAGAAAAGAGTCCAGCCCAAGTTGTACCAGGAATATCCGGATGAATGAGGGTCTCAAAGTTGCTCACTGCACGATGAGGTGGTGGGACAGGCAAAGCTGCCTGGCAAAGTGAGCAGAGATTACTGGTAGGAAAATAAAATCTGGGTTCCTGCTTCCTCACTTCTGCCCATCTGCTGTAGTCAGGGAGCTTCCCCAAGCCTCCGTTTCCCTCCTAGAATATGTGGACACTATCCTTTCCTCAACGGGCTCACTGGACCTTTGCCATCGACAGCTCCTAAAGCACTTGGCAGAGACCATAACAAGTGGCCTTTGGACATCTGGGGTGATGGTTCAGGGCCTGTGCTGAGAAGGCTGATGGGGGAGGTGCTTCCCCATCCCCATCCCCCCAGGGAGTACCAGGTGGGTCTGAGAGTCCAGATAGCCTGGCAAAAAAAAAAAAAAAGACAAAAGAACACTTACAAAGCAGCCTCCTTGCAAATTAATGGAGTGCAAACTCACTGTGCTGCTGGTGCTGAAGGAATGCACAGCAGTGGAAGGGGGGAGGGGACCAGCTGTTGTGTGGCAGTCCAGGGGCTGGGACCAGGCTGGCTCCACCTCTGATCTCAGTTCCTCCTTTCCAGGCCCCTGGGTTTCCTGATGGGAGGAGAAAGCAGGGGCTCATCCTGGAATGAAAACTAGGAAGCCAGGACTCACGGCCCAGACCTAGGCTGCCTTCTTGGACAGGTCCACAGGCAGGTGCAGGGAGCAACCTCTGTGGCCCCTGCTGCTTGCCCTGCCTTCCTGCAGCAAGAGCTTAGCAGCCAGGCCAAGGAGGAAGCTGGCTTCAGAACCAGAGCTGGGATCAGCCTCCTCTATCCCTGCTCACCAGCTCAGAGGCAGAGGTCTGTGCTGGACCAAAGAGGCTGTGGCTTGCTCACTCAGCCCTGTATCCCTGGCCTTGCAGTGTGAGAGGGCTGCGGAGGCACCAAATGGCGTCTAACCTGGGTCAGGGTACAGACCACATCCTGGTTGTAGGTCCCCGAGTCCGCTCCCACAGCCTCCATCTCTCTCTGGGATCCGGGTCTTTCCTCTCTCTCAGGCATTTGCACATCTCTCCATCTGCATATTTTAACTCCCCCAGCTGCCTTTCCAATCCCTTCCTGCCATTTCCCTCTCTTCCTCCCCTCCCCCAGCCTGCTGTGTTCACTCTCCTGCCTGCTTTCTCTGGGCTGGGACTCAAGTCTTCCTGCTTAGCCATAGCCTCGGGTCTCCCTCAGCTAAGACTGAGCTGGGGTTTCCTGGCCTGTCTTCCCAGTGCAGACTTCAGCCAATCACACTAGAAATAGGCACCAAGGCACCACCCTTTATTGAAGGGGAACTGTTGGTGTGCCTAGCAGAAAGCTTTGAGGATCGAGCCCAGGTATGCCCCCTCTTCTACCTAAAAAGAGCTTTATTCTTCTCCAGTCACCCATAAGTGACCCCTAGGGCGGTGCCTCCAGGGACACCATGCCCCCTCCTGCCACTGCTGATGGCCCCAAGTTCTGCTTGTCGTGCAGCAGAACTTGACCTGCAGTTGTAAGCCTCCTGGTTGGCTTTAGGCTTACACCAGTCCCTCCAGGCGCCTAAGGATACCTTGAGTTGAGCCCAGTGAGGGTGTAGGGCATGTGAGGCCTAGCCTGGAAGAGCATGAGTGTGAGCCTGAACCAGGTACCTCTGTCTCTTACTCTTGTCATGTAGCTTCATCCAAGCTTCACTCATCAGTTGGACAGGCTGCGTGGTCTGCACAGCAGGAAACCACAGCAATCACACAATCACCAGGCATCAATTGCATTACTGTGAGACCATGAGCATGCAGAGACCATGTCTGATGCCGGCTGAGCCCAGGGTGGGGGGTGGAGGGCTCTTGGAAGTGTGGGTTCTTACCCAGCTGTACAGGCTACCCTGGGACACACTTGGGTTTGAGAACTGCTGCTGCCTGGTTAGGGCCAAGTACTCTTGGGATTCTTGCCTTAAGAGGTGAGGATGGTCACACTGCCTTCGTGTCGCCTACCTGTGGCCATGGGGTGGCCCTGCTCTCCTGAGGGAGGGGCAAGAAACTGACCTGAACCCTTTTGGCACCAGGAGATGGTCACATGGAAGCAGTTACGGAGGCCAGGATGGTACCAGGCAGACAGTGAAGGCTACTGGCTACCTAGGTCCTGGACTTCACCTTGAGAGAGAATCCAGGAGTCAGAGGACAGGAATAGTGAGCAGCAAGTGTTTTCTTGAGAAAATGAGGATGCATACTCCACAGCTAAGTGGGGGCCATGTTCTGTGTTATATGAGCAGGTCAATGGAAGGAGGGCAGGGGGCTGCTTCTACTAGGGCAAAACAGTCTTGGCTTTCCTAGCGGGTAGGTTGCGATTTCTGGAATTTACTACCTCTTTTTGCTCCTTACATGGTCTGGTGTTCCCTATTTAGGAAACTGACACATGTGTTAGTTAGTATGCTAAAGCATCACAGTGAGTATATGATGTTATAGAGTCCATCTAGCTTAGCATTGGCCCCCAGTATCAGCCTGGTCCAGGAAGGGAGCCTGTTTACGTTTAAAGCACGGCGAGCCACAGCCGAATCCTACAGACTGTGAGATAATACACACTCCCCTCAGGGGGCTTCATTTCCCTCTCTGTCTCCAATTTGAGTGTCCATAAAATGCCCCCTTGCACGTAGTCCAGTTGTCCATCCCGCTGGCACTCCCGGGGATCCCCAAGTGGATGCTTGTGATCTGAGCTTCAAGAGGCAGCTGCTAAGTTGTGCAGAGTGGACAGCTGTGGTGAACATGGTGAAGGTATTTGAGGTTGCTGGTGTGACTCCCACTCTCTATCTGTGGAGCTTGTTTTGTCCTGGAGCTTAGAAGACCCTTGGATCCTAGAGGGAGATTTTCCATATTCCCCCTGGCCCCAGAATGGTTCCTCATGGGTGCCAGCTAGAGTGGGCTGGAGGCAGAGCTGGCAAAGGGGCCTGCAGAAAGGGAGCCAGAAGCAGCTTGAGGCAGTGGCTTTTCCAAGGAGTCAGGAGTTCGTGTCTACCTGCCCTATACACTTGGCCTTGGATAAAATCCCTCCCCAGCTCTGTGGCTTTTGGGTGGAATTGCTAAGGAGGCCAGTGGAGTGTCTTCTGCCCCAAGAGGAGATCGCCTCCTGAGGTTGTATGTATGTGCACATGTATGTGAGTGTGTGTGCACCTGTGCTTGTATTGCTTAGATATGCTTGCACCAGCATGTGTTTGCATGTGTGTGCACATACAAGTAAGTGTGTGTTTTCATGTTCTTATGTGTGTGCACATGTTTTGTCTCCTCCCTGAACTTGGCATTTGTTTGTTGGTTTCCCGTGTGCTGCTTCTGACTCTCTCACTGCCTTGTGTGTCCCCAGGAGCAGGAGCCAACATCTTCTGACATCCTCCTCATGGGGTCTTACTGACACTGGCTAAACACACGCGACCAGCCGTGTGCTTCAAGGCAGGGCCTAGGGCTAGGGGTGTGGATGGTGACAAACCTCAAAGACAGAATTCTGTTACATCTACATAGCTAATGCCCAGTCCTGCACCCTGGGACCCCACCGGGGACCCAGCCCTAGTGTGGGGGCTCACAGCAGCCCACCCAATCTTCAGACCTCATGGCACTCCTCCTCTCTCTCCTCTATAGGACAGCTCTCCTGCAGGCGCGCCCCCGGCTGCTCCTCCCAGTGCAAAGCCTCGTGTGCCTGGCAGCCTTCGGCCTGGCCCTGCCACTGGCCATCAGCCTCTTCCCACAGATGTCAGAGGTCAGTGGGGGTGTGTGGAAGAGGGGGTGGTAAGCCCAGGACAATTTGGTCACTGGTCAGCAAGTACCTGAGCTCCATGCTAGGCACTAAGTTAGAACTGCGAACGAGCCTGGCCTAGGTGGTGACTGCTGAGAGTTGAAGGTCAAGCAGTAAGCACAGGATGGCCTAGGGAATGGCACACAGAGTGTGAGGATGGTCGAGACAGGGGAAGTTCAGTTGCACCTAGGAGAGGGGACAGCAAATCCCACCAAGCCTGCAAGGAGGTGGCTGTGCCCTGGGGCCTGGTGAGAAGGGATTAAGGGAGAGCTGGGGGAAAGTTCTGGAGTGAGACAGCATTTAGCCTGTCCAGCATGGCCTGCTAAGGTGGGCTGGGGCCGAGTGGTGTTGGGAGGCTGGAAGTATGTCAAAGCCAAAAAGGTTGATGTCATTCCGATTGTGGTGTTTCCTGCAGTTGCAACTTGAGGCAGGGGGGTGGAGGGGTTGGAGCTCTGAAGAGCCTTTCCAGCAGGAGGCTGTGGCATGCATCCAGCTGGAGCCAGTGGGCTTGGTCCAGGCTGTTTGGCAGGGGGCATGAGAAAGAATGGGGTCCTTGAAGGGAATGTGAGAAGGCTGCTTCCTCAGGGTTTGAGGAGGGACTGTATGTGGGAAGAGGGGGAGGGAGCTGGCAGGATGCGCCCCTGGATTCCTGACTTTCCCCCAACCAGGCAGATGTGGAGACCATGTCACATGATAGAGAGGAGCAGGGCAGGCTGCAGGGAGGACCTGAATTGCTATGTGGGTGGGGACGAGGAGCCTAGGAATGAGCATGTGGGTGTGCCCCCGGGAAGCCGCTCTGTTCTGGAGTGCCTGAGGGGCCTGGGCTGCACGGCCAAGGGTAGGTGGCTGCCCACAGGTCAGCACCCCAAGAGGTGGTCACTGTCCATGAAGGCTGATCCTGTGTCCTTGGGTGCCAGGGCCCAGGTGAGGCTCAGTAGGGAAATAAAAGAAGCCAGCCCACGTGTGGAACCATGAGATGCCTCACGGGGTTGTTTCTATGTGTTACCTGGGAAGGACTGCAGCTGTGTGACTGTGAAGGTGGCGGCTGGGCAGATGGGAAGGAGTGCTGGAGGGATAGGGTCGGGACAGCACAGGTCCTGATGCATGACCTCGGTTGGGGCCAAGCCCCTCCGACTCCAGTGTGCTGTAGGAGAGTTGGGGGCAGGTACAGTCAGGCTGGGCAAGTTGAGGGCATTGTTCTGGGTGTTTCTGTGTACTATGACAGAGAATGAAGAGATTTGAGGCATTCAGAGGGGACCATGTGGAAAACAGTTGATGAGTGTTGGGGGAATAGGAGGCAGCAGAGAAGCCTGGTGGGTGGTGCCAGGAGAGGTGTTAGGGTGGGATGGGGCTAGGATGGCGGTGGGGCGGGGGATGAACTGTAGGGCACCCACTATCCTCACCCTTCCTAACCCCATTTTTCCAGACAAGGTGGGCAGGGCATCTGGTAAGGAAGTGCTGGACCTGGCCTCTAATTGGGGCTGGGAGTGAAGATGGGCAAGACTCATACAGGGGCAAACAGTGGGTGGTGTGTGGAGTAAGCAAACTGCTGCCCAGAGTGAGCCCGAGAGGGCACTGATGCAATTGCAATGTCAGGAGCAGCCCTGCTGCAGGTGGGGCCCCTGGAGAAAGAAATCAGTGAAGGTGGTGCTGGGCCAGGACTCTGAGGACTGGAGAGCCGCAGACTTGGAGGAGGAGGTGGGGACACAGCTTTCAGGGTTCAAGGTCCTTGGAGGATGAACACTGGATTCGCTTCCCTCCCCAGGTCCCAGAGCCTGAGGAGGAGATGGTGGAGGGGCTGGGGTGCTGTCTTACGGACACCATGCAGGAGGATTCCTGGGGTGTTATCTGTGTCAGTGTCTACTTCATCGGCCCAACTCAGGGCTAGGACAGGGATGCTGTCGCAGCCTCAGCCTGGGCTGAGAGCCCCAGGCCAGTCTAGCAATTCTGCAGATGTAAAGGATAGCATTCCCCAGCAGACCCTGGATCTCCATCCTCAAGGGGCTGAGCCAGTACTCCTTGAAGCTGCCATCTGTCTCTGTGATGTCAGCCTGGATTCAGGCTCTAGAAAAGGGTCCTAGTCACCTGTGTGCTGTAGGTACCTTGTGCCCTGAGCCTCCTGTTCTCACAGCTTCACCTGCCAGCACAGGGCTGCCCACAACAGAGAAAACCGAAAGCAGAGTCAGAGACCAGCCCAGGCCAGACTCCTAGGGCCACCCAGTTTACCACCCTGTGGAAGTAGAGGCCCAGGACAGCCATGGGACCAGCCCCACATGGGACTGATGTGAGAGGAAGGCCCGGAGGTCCACACTCCTCTTGCAGAGCTGTAAGGGAATGCCGCCTCCAATGGTTATCTGGGGCTGGATTCCTGTCCACTCCCAAGCACTTACCTAAGTCCTGGTCCTATTCTGTTGCTGTAACAAAATGCCCAAGGCTGGACACTGTATCAAGAAAAGAGGTGCATTTGACTCATGGTCCAATCAGATGATGCTGGCATCCTGGATGGGGATTCCTGGCTCCATTCTGGCATGGCCAAAAAGCAGAAATTCAGACTGACCACAGTGGAAGAATGAGGTTTGTGTGTGAGGCCTCTCTAGCACAGCCAGCTCTGTCCGGTTCCACTTTTCCCTGCCAACAGCATTGGTCCCATCTAAGGGCAGAGTTCCCAGAACAACTGCCTTGCACCAGGCCACACCTCTCAAAGGCTCCTCCATCTCAACCCTGTCCACACTGGGGACCAAACCTCCAGCATGTGACTCTCTGAGAACACAGCAACTGTTCTGGCAGGGGCTAAGGGGTGTAGCAGAGAAAGGAGAGACCCGGAGCCACACTGCAGTGGGGGAGGCGCCAGGTGCACTGTGTGGCAGGTGGTGGGGGGCGGGGAGGGCAGTGATGGAGAGGTGGCTGCCACCCATCCACATCAGCCTCCAGCTCTGGTGCAGGGAGGTGACCCAGAGTGAGCTGCCCTGACCTCACAGAGGCTCCGCAGCAACTTCCAGGCCTCTGCCTCTCCACGTCTACCTCAAACAGACACACAGGTTAATTCTGCATCCCCAGCCAAAGTCCCTCTTCTTGCAACTCAAACCTGTTTAGATTGGGAGACGTGTGATCACTGCATAAATCTTTGCCCTCTGGGAAAGGAGGAGGGGGTGTAGTTTTGAGAACTGCTTCCTCAGCTGTGTCTACCCCTGCAGGATGAGGGCTGACCTGGGTGTTACGGGGTATTCTGAAGCCCATCCACAACCCAGGGTACTGAGGCTATCCACCAATTGGCTCGGGGAAGGGGAAACATCATTCCCCCCATGAATCCTCCCAATTAGTTCTCCCTAACGAGGTGATGCTTATGCCGTACAGGGAGCTATCTTCTGTCCCCACTGCCGGTGGGATTTGCTACAATAAGTCTGGGCTTGCTTGGGCTGACCCAGCCTTGCCAAAAGCCACCAAGGCTGTCAACACAAGTAATCGCTGGAACGCTAATTAATTAATTAGTGGAGATGGAGTTTAGGAACTGGTTTGAGAACAGTTGAGCTGGAGTGTTTGGTGTGGGGCTTCCAACTCACCAACCCCAGAGGTTGAGGGAAGAGCTTCAGGGCTCCCTACAAACCCCATGAGAGTTTGCAAGACAGTATTCTGCCTGTTAAGATGGTGGCAAGGGCCACATTGCCAAGGATCCCAGTGATGGGCTGGGAATTCTGCCTGCTTTGCTGAGGTAAGTCCTTCTGATGCCCTTTGGTGTCACTGGGTGCCGAGGGGAGTTTAGTACAGATGTGTGCCTCCATGGCTCTAGGGAGATTCTGATTACTGATGCTTTGGTGAGGGGAGGGACCTGAAGCACAGGCAGAGGTTTTACCCCCGTTGGGAGGAAGAGTTGCCATCCAGGGGTGGGGAGCGGGCTTAGACAGTGTCTGGCTTCATGCAAGCCAAGGACCAGGACATTTTGAGGAGGAAGGGGCTCCCTGCACAGGGAATGACTGCAGAGGGACCTGGGGGAGGTGAGACTTGGTGGCTGCCTCCAAGGCATGGAAGGCTAGGAGGTCACTCACTGGTATCCTGGAGAGGGCAGTGGTCATGAACGAAGGCCCCTAGCCCAGGAGCTGGGGAGGCATGGCCTCCTGAGCAGGGAGGGACCAGGTGACTGTGGCAGGGAAATAGGGCCAATATGACGATCCTACAAGGCAGGGTTCCTTGCTGATAAATGAGGATGCTGGGGAACATCAAGGTCAGGCACCTAGCCCAAGGTCCAGCATTATCCTGATAGAGTGAGCTTTGTACCCAGACAGAAGGATGCCGTAGAACTCCCCATCCCACCCTTTCATCACCCTCAGTCTGTGCCCCCAGGCCCCTCAATCAGAGGATTCCAGTACCCACCGTCACAGGGACCTCTGCAGAAAGTGTCTGTTTTCTGACCCAGAGTGGAGGGATCTGATGGGGTCAACAAGTGAGGCTGGAGACTGAACTTGGGACAGGGTCTGGCCTCTGTTCTGGACCCCACTACCATTGTTCATGCAGAGTGTTGGGATCTACCCCGATCCAGAAGTTAAATCGGTGGGAGGACCCCATGGTCAAAGCCTGCTCAGCCTGGCTGTCCCCAGGCACGGAAAGGCCATTAGCACCCAGAGGCTGGTGTGCTGTCCCCTTCTGGGATCTGGGATGACTGGGTGACAGCTCTGGGTGGGGCAGATGGAAACTCCCTAACAGGTGTCACATAAAAGTGGGCGGTGGGATGCAAGTCAAGGAGAAGGCTGTGCAAGCGCCGGCCGGGGGCCACGTTAGGTCCCGTAGGCTGTGAAGGCCTCCCTGTGCTTACAGGGGGCCTCGTTTCTGGGAGCCTCTGGCTTCCACGCGAATGTGGTCACCTCTGTCATAAATGCACAGACATGTACATGTTGGTACCTTGCGTGCCCCAGGGCAAGATCCAGAGTCCCCTGTCAAAGCCAACAGGCATGGCTGCCACAGGAGGCCAG